TAAGATTTGCTCTACTTTCTCCCTAGGGCATAATTGTCAGACTGACTTACCGTGTGCCTTTTAGCCTTTGTTCTGCCTCTCACGCTGACATCAGGGAAGCAGTGATGTAGAATAAAGCAGGGGTGGGCTAGGTTAGTCCACTGTTTGTGTCGTTGTGTGGTGTGCAGGGACACTCTGTGATACTCTAGTGAGCTGCTAAGCTTTTTTTGTAGGCTTTGTGTCATTTACTTAACGACCAATCTCATTAGCTGCCAGGGTACAATGGGCTGATGCATTTTCTATGTACATACTCTACACAGTGACCCTCAAGGTTGCCGAAGGTCTATTTAATCAGTCAAAATGCTGAATATATTTGCAGTAAATCACTAAAAAAAAATACGGGACCACAGAGGTATCTCATGAGGGTTTACTCTTTCCTGGGAGTTATTTGCAGGTAATAAACTGATAGGAGTTGTAGGCAAAAGCAAGGGCAAAGAGGGAAAAGGGCACTCGCTGGGTTTGCACTGGTCACCTTTAATTTAGGGAACCTTGGGGGCCCTGCATATTGCTGTGTCTTTGCTTGTTAATTTCTAAATGCAGTTCATGCTTCAGTGTAATCATGTTATCACAATTAAACCCCTTTAAATAAGAAGAGCAGCACTAACAAAATACACAGCCTTTCACACATTGGGGAGGGGATATGTGTGTGTGTGTGGTGGGGTGATATTTATTTATTAACTTCCTTACGACGGGCAACCTCAGGGCTGGCGTCTTTGCATTTCTAAACTCTAGTCAGTTACAAGGTAAAACCCTTTTAACTCTTATGAAAAATGAAATGCTGAAAAGCCCTATGAATCACGACAGCTGTCCATAAGTAACAGGGAGAGTTCTATTGTCCAACTTGTCCCTGGGTAAAATGAATACTTTACAGCAGAGGCTGTTCAGCTTGGCTAAAGAGTATGGGGAGAAGGGGAGGAGGTCACTGGAGATTTCGCACACTAATTTAATCTGGGAAAAGGACAGGCACTGCATCTCACTTGAACAGACTGGCGGCAATCTGGGCTCCCACAGAACTATCTCCTTTTGCCTGTGCTCTATTTATTCCTTATCTCTGTTTACCAACCGCTAGGTCCCTTTCATTCACACCACGAGGCCGTTCTCCTACTATCAGTCAGCAGCTGACACTGTGGAAGAGCCTCAAAGGCAAAAAAAAAAGGGATCAAAACTAAACCAAAGCTGTATAAACAATGCAACAGTAGAAGTAAATGCATAAATCCTAATTCTTAACCCAACCCACAGGGTGCGAACAGAACCTTTATAGTAAATCCAACAAACCCACCACAGTGAGCTATGGGCTACAGAGGAAATGGGAAAAGCCAAATATCATTCATGAAATCACCATCTCAAGCAGAAACATTGAAAAAAGGCATTGGAGGATTTTTAACTGGTCTCAGCATAACAGGTTCATCAGTCCTGTATATCCCTCAGCAAGTAATGAGGTGTACATTTACCTGTGTTCCTGATATAAGGTGAACAAGAGCCTTTGTCACTTGACTATCTCATGGTTGGAAAGCCTTAGATAACTTTGCACTCACTGCTTGTGATTTCGATTAAAAGAAGTAGAGGCAACCACTTTAAAAAAAAAATAAAAAAATCTGTATCTGGAGGTTGTTATAATTTGGGTAACTTTATAGCTAGAACTTAAATGTCAAGTTGTTATTGAAGCATTTGTCCAATTAATTTTGCCTGTAAAACTCGGTATTTCAATATTGCCCTTTCTCAGTCCTTAGTTTATACTTTTTCTTCTTACTCTAAGTTTTTAACACATTATGACAAGAAAATGGGTGAAAACAGGAAAGACAAGATGAAGCTTGTGTCTCTAATAGAGAAGGAAAAGAAAGTAATGAACTGTTTACATTTGGCATTCTTATTTTGGAATATTACGGTGACTTAACTGCAAATAAGTTATTTTTCTAATTTTAATGGTACCTAATTTTGTTTTCCTGAAGTAACTTATTTACAAGGAGGTTGCAGATATTCATAGAAAGACAGCAATATTGTTTCAGTGAAACATTCCAGGTTTTTAAACCTAATCTGTAATCTCCAAAGTAGGGATGTTCCTCCCAGAAAAGGAGTTCAGAACTGTTCTCAACTTTTCGAAACATAAATATACACATTGACAGCATATAGTCAATATACTGTCAACTTCACAATCAAGATCATTATAACAATAACAAAGAAAATGTTCCTCGTTATCAAAGATGATCAACTGGACCTAATTTCAGTTTTGATTTCCACCTATGTGCATTATGAGCAATGAAGTCTTTACTACTTGGATCCTTTTTTCCAAATGAATTAATGAATTAAATTTATCCTTTCACCAGCTGCTAGGCAGCAGATGGAACCATTTCTGAAGCCTTGTTGAATTCAATCCATAAAACTCATTTCCTAGGATTAGCAGTCCAAAGTTTCTTTTAATGTTTATATACCGCTTGGGATTTTGAATTTCATGATGTTAAACTTTCAATTTAACTATTTTTTTCATTTCATATCAAACAAATATGATCGTTTGGATTTCTATAGCTTTGTAACCACACATTTCAGGTCACATAAGGACAAGAATTCATTTCAAAAGCAATCAAGTAATGCAAGATTGGGATCTGGGGGTTTTTTTGTTTGTTTGTTTTGTTTACATTACGGCACTACCATAGAAACCATTTGTGTTATACTCAAAGATTGATTTACACTGGAAAAGTTTTATTATCTGTAACTTTGACAAAAACCTTGACATAAAATTTTAGTTTTAATAGGCAATTTGTGAAAGTTATAGTGATCGGAGGGTGTATGTGCTATTCACAGAAACATGACATAAAAATAAGTTTTATAGACATATTTTTTTATAGTTAACATCAACATAAGGTTTATCTAGTTCTGAAGAGAAAAAACCAGTAGCAAATGGTGGCAGTTTTGTGAACACTTCAGTAAACATTTTTTTCTGTACAGTAGCAGGAAATATTAATCAGCTGCAGTACCCTGGACAGCTCCTTTTCTTTCATTTTAGGTTTTCTTACCTCTGCTACACATCTCTGAAACAATAACCAGAGATCAAAGGACTTCAACTGTAATTTCATTCACAAAGGTCCCTATTTATAGATCTTCGAATAAACTAAATTATAATTTACTGAAAGTTTCTACTTATTAGAAACATAGAAAAGAAAAAGCAAAACAAAAATACGCCCTCTCCTGCTCAGCTTTCAAAGACATGTTATATTGAAAATCTCAAGAATAAAACCTCATGATGTCAAAGTCTTCCTGTTATTCAACAAAGTAAATAAAACTGAAAAAAAAAAAAAAAAAAAGTGATTCTTGTTGTGTATAACAGTGATTTCCGCTAATTTGGCACAAGAAATCTATATTAATCTAATAATGCAGTAAGCCAAGAAGGACACATAATAATAATTACCATTGAGTAATTGAATATTTAGAAGGAGGAGGAAAAAAAGGAAGACTGGTAATCTTAGCCTGCAGGCATGAAAGTACTATAATACGCAGATGATATTTACAAGTAAAAATAAAATGCTCCAAACTGGGAACTTAAGAGGCAAAGCCTATATTTAGAAATTCCTCATTTTGAATCTGGATTATCTGTTAGCCACCTTATAACAGAAATATATTATTGTCTCAGGGAAGGCTTTCATCACAAATGCTGTAATTTTCTCCAAGAATTACAAAACCATTGCACAGCGAAACCAAAGAAGACACATCTACACAATTAACTTAACTAATTTAATTGACAAAAGAGATAATAAATGGTCATTCTGTATCCTAAAAAGATCCTTAACTGACAAAGTTCACCCCATATAGTTTAAGGATAAAATCTGGGATTTGTGCTTTTATAATCTATTAAATGAAAAATTAACAGCATCTTGCAGAAGATTGTCTTGCTATTTACATACGAAGAAAGACAAACATCTGAACTAAGTGCTTTGTTAAAGACAAAAGAAAGTCAGAGAGAGAGAGAGCGAGCTATTGCTGATCAGAGTGTTAAACAGACTTTCTCTAGCATCAAATGTTATTTCATAAAAATCATCCTCCTGCAAAATGTTGTCCCAAAAGGTCCATTCATTCTTCAACCTTGCCTGATATTACTGTCATTTAACTTTTTAAAGATTTTCCTGACACAGATATTCATTCTGAAGTACAGTATTTGCTTTTTTAATCAGAAGATCTCAATTCACTCTCTGAATCCCAAATAATTTAAAAGACTGAAACATCATGCTTTGAAAGACCCTTTTTCACTTAGAGTAATGCTATTAAATATATCGATCAACAATCTTCATTTTAAAAACATTACGCATGATTTTAAAGCATTCTAAAACATCATGAGAAAGCTCTTTGGTGTGTAATACATAACTGCAAGTGAGCCTGCATCTTTCGAACAGTTCCTACAAATACACTGGTCCCACTCTCTCCCTCTCCCGTCTCATTTTTTTTCCCCCGTCTCTTTTTTTCAATGGTAGTATTTAAGTTCAGTAACTTTTCAAAATGAGAGGAAAAGTGTCCTTGTGATCATTTCCTCAAATCAAATAGCTAGAGCTGCAAATTTGCACAATTGTAAAATGTATATGAACAAAGGCTTTACTGAGGCAGTATAAATGCAATTACACCATGACATTTTATTCAGAAAGCTTTCTCAAAGCAGCTAAAAGTAGCTATTTTTTAATTGAGGCCCAAAATAGCATTTAAGATAATGACCAAGCATACATTGTGGAAGAAACAGCATTAGTGTCATTTAAACAAAAAGAAAAGTTTTCAAAGAGCATTTTAAACATGGATTAAAACCCCTCAAACTTCTTAATACAAATCTCTCAAGCTTTCAACATTGATATATGGACAGGATTTTTTTTTTTTTTTTCCCCAAATAAGAGCACAAACAATAGAAAAGACAGAAAGTTACTAATAGTACAAGTTGCTTAAACATCAATGGGTTCAGAATAGTGTGAAAAAGTTGTTAAACTTACTTTATTTTTGTTTCCAAAACTTATATGTTTCTCCTCCCTTGTGTGCTGAACTGTGCACTAAAGCTGTGTCTTTGAAAGGTAGTTCCCATGATATGACATCCAGTGCCTTTGACTGCCTAGAGATAAGCACCTGCGTTTGTGTCCCCTCTTTACGTCACACCTCCCTATTCAAACCTTCTCAATATGATTCACATTTGCACATCAACAGCCTCATGCGCATACACAGATTTTTTTCGGCTCTGGGCCCAAAACTTTCACTTTAATTTTCATCACATGATTGCTGTGGCATATGTCCTTCCAAACCTCCCATATATCAGTCATCATGCAAATGAGATGGAATATCACTCCTCTGCAGCAGATGGCCAGGGATGATAACAATGGCTCAACAGAGGAGATTCAATGTCCCTGACTTTATCGCCACGGCAACAACAACCTAAAATATATGTAATGGAAGTGGTGCTTATTAATTTTGCAGGCTCGAGTGTTCTGATTTTGTGAGTGAATGGGCTGAGTTAAAAAGGGGGCTGTGTCCTCCTGCCTCTAGAAGACTATCTATAAAAGCCAGGGACCTGGAAATTATTTTCAGTGACTAAGAAGGCAACAGCCTAGCAATTATTTGAGTAATTAGGTGTAATTCCTCCCTGTAGGCCTTGTACCCTCCTGTGCTTGTTTCACAGAAGCTTGCGAATTAGACAGGCACAGATACTGAAAAGAAAAGTGCCTCAAGATATAGCAGGAGAGCTTGCAGGAACTAAGCTTCAGTGATATGACACTTGGCCTCCACCAGGCTTGGTAAACAGAAGCCCCAAGCCATAAGTAAATAGAGGCCCCACTCCACAAACACAGACCAATTAAAATTACAAAGGCAGCCACACTTCTGGGTGGGGCTGGGGGGAAGCTTTATTCTGCCATGGTCTCACTGTGAGTTGCACACATAATGGTCTCTGAGTTCGGAGCACCATGTACTGTATTTCCACTGCTATCTGTCACTATCAAACCCAAGCACAAGGCTCTCTTCAGGCTCTGAATTTCTCCCTAGGGATTTATCATGTGCCTTTAAGGAAATGTTTCAAAGTGAATTTTCTGTGTGCCTTCTAAATGCAAACCAGAGAGAAGAAACAAATGCAGCAATTTGCTATTTATCTTCAGCAAATTAGCAGGAAATAGTGGGGATCACCATTTTACCTCAGAGCAAACAACATATCCACAGCCCCTCATCACCCAGTTCATGCCACAGCTTTCACATCCTTTGCTGTGTTGAGCATGTGAGTACCCATTTGATTCTTGAGAAATAAAGTTCAGCTATGAACTGTATCTTTAACTAAGAAACTATTTGTCCAGAAACTGTATGTCTTTTGTTCTTTTCCTCAGGGGATACCTTAGAAAAATGGAGAATCCTTTGTCTCCCTCTGCAGTAGAGGGGAGTATGTTTAAGTAAAACTGACAAAACACTCTGCGAAGTTGTGGCCTCATCATGTGCTAGAGACTTAGTGCAGAACTGGACCAAGGAAGCTTGCTACTCCTCACATGAGAGAATTCCACAGAATTGATGAGATTGTTGAAATAATTTGCACTCCTCTCCTTGGAACCCCCACACATTGAGCAGAAGTGGTGTGTAAATTTGAAGCCAGAGAGGAGGCACCAAGTGACATTAGACCCCTTGGAGGAAAACTGTGTGGTGAGGCAACACTTGAGGCAAGTGATAGAAAACTCCAGAGGTAGTGCTGGGCCTGTGGATCCTCCCCCTGTTTTGAGAGGGCTCAACACACCTAGGCATTGCTCATGTTCTGTATTAGCATTTCCAGTCTTCATTTTTTATGAAGGCAAATCCTCCATGTAAAAAAAAATGCAGGGACATTTCTGTTCTGCACCAATATTGTAAATTTCCAGAACTATTATTTACTTATCATATACCTAAACAGTGACAAGCGGTCTTACCTTCTGACTTACGAATAGATGCTACCAGAACAGGAATATTCAGTACTGAATGATCTTTCCTATTCCACCATGAAAAAAATCTCCTGAATGTGAAAATAGTGCATAGCTGTTTTAACCAAGGAAAAGTATTTCTTTTCAGTCTTTAGTATTGCCAACTAATTATTAACTACCAACAGAAGTATTTAAAATAAAACAAGTGTAAAGGAAAGCTTATTGTTCATCTTCTCCTACTGTGGTGTGGAGTTTGCAACTACATTTCCCAAATATAATATTACTGATGAGTTTTATTTCCTTGTTTCAGAAAAGCTCAGCTGAAATGAAAACCTGGACTTTTATTTTTGGCTTGATTTTGTTGTTGGTGGTGGTGGTGTTTGTGTCTGCATGTGCAAAAAGGATTCTGGAATTGTATATGTCCCTGTTCTTTACTTGTGTACATTTCATTCTCCACCCTACATCACTCATAAATGTTGCTGCTATGGTGAGCTGAAGACATGAGTGTGGTCCAAGCCTATGCAAAGCTCTGAAACTCCTTGTTAGTGCATCAGTAGTTGGACAGAAAGCCAATACACAGAGTACTATAGGAATGATGTTTTCCTGACAGCTTGTGTTATTTATGGGACTGGCCACTGTCTTCTGAACCAGATGGAGCTTTTTTCCTTTTTTTTTTCCCTTTTTTTTTTTTTTTTTTTTTTTTTTTTGATCTGCTGTGCATGGCCCTAATTGATCATGGAGTGAGACTGGCATTTAGGTCACTGTCTTTATATTTTCCAGTGTTAAGTATGATCCTGGGTTGTGAACTATCTCATCTCTAAAGGTACAACTCATTTAACAAAGCTATTCATATCCTCTCACATCACAGGAAGAACATATGATGAGAGGATGAGTAAAATTTGTAGATATGGATTATATTTTCCTGTCTGATTCTTATCTATATGGTTGTAGTGCCATGCATATTAAAACCTGCTTGCTGAAAAAAGGATTTAGAAGGTATTTCTCACATTCCACTGAGACACATAAGTGAAAAAAACCCAAAAAAACAAAACACCTTTGTCATTAAATCAATCCTAAGTAAATTCAGATTTAACAGAACTTTGCTTTTTGCATGGTTTACAATCCAGTAAGTAATGATAAACTGTCAAAGATTGGATTGTTTGTGTTGAGAATTCATTTAAATAACAAAATATGTATTTATGATGTAAGTGCTTCAGAGTCAGCAAAACTTTAAGTTGCAGATCATCCTATCTTGACCCTCTAAGCAATAAGTCATTTAAAGTTTACCAGAATAAAAAAAGGATACAGAAAGGGTTAAATTCTCCCTCAAACTGCTCATTTGGGTAAAAATTAAATCTAACAGGAGAGTGATGACTTGTTGCAGAATCACAAATGAAATAAATGTGCACTGCAATATGCAGTAGCTGCCACTCAGTCTTGTGCTGGTAAGAAATTGTGTGGATCTAATATGAATACTCAGGTACCAGACTTTATAGTCTTCTATTAATAAATAAAATACTCTTCAAAGCGTATAAACAAAATTGTAAATTATCTGTGTAATATACCAGAAAAGAACACAGCAAAGACTGACAGATAAAACTTCCTTGCAGACTGTACAGCAGTTATTTGGCTGCTATTCAAGTTCATGGGAAACTTCAAAAACAGCACGGAACTTTAAATTAGTACTATGAATATTGTACTGAATAGTACTAAACATTTCAATGTTTTCACCTGAATTTAGCTTATCTTCACAGTTAGGAAGAAGAGACTGCTACAGTAAAAAAAAAAGAAAGTTTTCATTCCTCTGCAGAAATAAACAGACTCGCTGTATTCCTACATCTTGCCAAATGATAATCCAGATCTAATTTAAAAAGACAAAACTTGTTTATGATACAGACTTCTGAACAAAGTAGAGATGCCTAAGAGACCTCACGAGAGGAAAAATAAACAGTAAACATAATTATAAAGAAACTTCAACATAACAGATATATTTCTACTTCTAAGAACAGCTATTAGCTCAGCAGAATTGTAACTGAACAGCCTGGAAACAGAGAGGTAAAAGAAATAAAAGAGACTACATGAGATGTATTGGATAACAGGCAGTATGGGAGATGAATCTTGATTCTTCACAAAGAGATAAGGGAATGAAATATTCTCTGCTGGTGCCAGTAAATTCATTGCATGTGTTGGCATCATCAAGCACCAAGTGCAGAGTCATTATAGACAATAATATTGCCAAAGTTGCCAAACCCATGTAGCACCTGGTTGAATAAAAATAATAAATCAGCCTGGAGTGAGTTATGTTAGCAGGCTTGTGCTGAGGAAAAATGCCAAATACATACACAGCAGAAAAACTACAAGTCATTAAGCATTCAACTTTGAAATGACATTTTGAAAATGTGCTAACCATGTTTGTACATCGTATTACTTCAAAAGTGTCAATTTAGAGGAATAAAAAGAATGAAGAAGAAAAGATATCTGACCTAATATTAACAAGGGAATGATTATCCAAATAAAACTATATATTGGCTCATGGGGATGTTAAGGCTTTCAGCATGCTCTCTGTGAAATACTCTATTCACTGAAATAACAGAAAGATTTCATTTTCTCTCTAGTTATCTTTTTTCTTAAGTGTTTACTTAACAGTACCCTAGAGAAAGACAGAGAATTTTGGAGTACTCCTTTCCTGTTAGTCGATTCTACCACAGAAAGCTGAAAACAGATATTTCAGGTGAGTTTTCTCAGAGCCTCTTAGTGCAGGCATGCACCCAGTTCTCTTAAGGCTTTCTGTAAAAATACTTAGGGGACTGTGGACAACTCTCCATTTAAAGAATGAAAAAAGTCATCCTTAATGGATTTTGTTGTTGGGATTGTACCTCACTGAAAGGGAGATTAGAATATTGCTTTTCTGAGTTACAGTTCTATGAAATTCAGGCTGATCTAAAACTGAGAAATGAAAATATTTTTCTCTTTGCAGTCTTATTTACTTTAATATATAGCCTTAATAAGTAACTGAAAGCAGTTATTTAATAAGCACTGAAAATTAGGTGCAGGTGATGTCAAATATGGATTAAGTCTTTCAGAAATATCCCATAATAGGGCTAAATATTAAGAGTAACAAATTTTCTTAGCTCTTGCTGCTAATTAAAAAAAGCCCTGAAACACATCTTTCTCCAATCATCGTATTATTAAATGCATAAATAAAAAACCCCAATGATATTGCTGCT